CACAGAATAGTGAAATGGAGTGCTGAGAAGCCAGTCGCCCATCTAGTGTCCCCACACCTACATGTATCTCATGCTGGCACTGGGGTTTCCGCTGCCTTGGTCTTTGCCCTCTTGGTGCACTGCTACAGGACAGACAGGCAGCCAGAATGTGTCCGTGCTAGTGAACTGAAGATGAGAGGACTGGTTCTTTCAGCAGCATTTATTGCCACTCACTCTGCCTGACTCCTGTGAGTTCCAGCCCAAGGAGGAGCCAGACAGGGCACAGAAGCCTCACAATGAGGGGGTGATCTGGTGGGGGGGCAGAAGGTGGAGGTCAGGCAAGGGAAGGCTTCCTGAAGGAAGCAGCCTTGGGTCCATCCAGGACCCTTGGTCATTTACACCTGGGTCTGCCCACAGGACGGAGGCCGATGGGAAGTCCTATGTAAAGTACCAGGTAATTGGCAAGAATCACGTGGCAGTGCCCACACACTTCTTCAAGGTGCTGATCCTGGAGTCAGCGGGTGGACAAATCGAGCTCCGTTCCTATGTGATGCCGAACGCACCCGTGGATGAGGCCATTCCCCTGGAGCGCTTCCTGGTACCCATTGAGAGCATTGAGCGGGCCTCAGGGCTGCTCTTTGTGCCAAACATCCTGGCACGAGCAGGAAACCTTAAGGCCATTACCGCTGGCAGCAAGTGAGGGCAGCAGCCTAGAGACTCGGGGCCTAGGGCCTGGATTGCATTAAAGAAGGTTATTTTTGGAGAGAAGTCTTGGCTGTGGCTGTCCTGATGGCCTGCAGCAGCCCCGTCTCACGGCTGCTTCACCCATATCCGACACTCATGGGAACCTTTAGGTGGTCTGAGTGCCTGCCTGGGTGAGGCTGGGCTGCAGGGCTGCCAGAGAGATGAGTATGGCTTCCTGGAAGTGAAGAGAATGCGAGACTGGGGCCGGGGAGGCAGGTGGGTGCCAGCTCCTACCTGACCACCCAGGCCCCGCCCCATGAGCTCACTGCTCTTAGTGGGCCCTGGGAGGTTAAGGGCCAGCCAGGTTCATCCTGAGATCTGCCCTGTGGCAGGCAGCATTCCCTGCTCTTGTGTACTCTCTAAATTGGGCATGACAGTACTAATGCCAGCCTCCCTGGGCTGGGGAAGTGATGCCATGGGCAGAGTTCTCCACCTTCCCTGAATGGGTGTCAGGGGTGGGGTCAGGTTTCTGCTGTGGGTATGGCTGGCAGGCTCAAGCACTTGGGCCGGGCGGGCCTCAGGGACAGGGAGACCAGGGCTGTCTATCTGTGAAGCTACCACCCCACTGAGACTGATAGGCAGTATAGCCTCTGTCACGAGGACAGCATTCTGTGCGAGAGGTGAGCGCACTGAGGCTTTCAGCTCTAATGGCACAATGCTTCCTAACGGACAGGATGCAGGTGACACCTGAAGGGACAGCAGCCATACCCACTGAAGTCACTGGAGAGGAGGTGGCAGAGCTGGAGCCACTGAGGAACACTAAGTATACAGTAATGAAAACAGAAGCCCACACAGGGATGCACAGGTTGCCTGGGGACCACTGGGAGCACAGGAGTAACACTGGCACCCAGGATTCAGGACCCCTCCTGCACTGCACTCATCTCCCCGCCACAGTTTGTGATAGTGAGGGGTGAGGAGTCCCTTTCCAGTGAAGGCACATTGGCCAGGATGGGCTACCAGGCCAGCTGCTAACTACCATGGACAGATCTGAGGCCCCAGCTGGTGGGTGGAGGTCAACACAGGTGGGCTCACCTCAGTGCGAATGGTGCGGCTGCCCTGGTTGGGGCATGTGTTGACATACAGGTCGAAGAGAACACTGGGTTCGGTCACCTCCAGGTTGGGGTCAGCATCCACTCCAGCTTCTAGCCCTTGGAGGCCCCCAAACACTACTACTGCATGCCTGTCACCCAGAGGGGAAATCAGTAACTATTCACCAAGGCCCCACGGAACACAGTCCCAGAGTACAGCAGGGGCCCAGCCTAGGCAGCTGGGCCCCACCAGGCAGGTACCTGCCTCTTTCTCCTCCCCTGGCCTCTGTCCCCTGTCCCCTGCCACAGGCAGCACCCACCTGAAGCTGGGCAGCTGGGCAGAGGCCACATCTGAGCCACGCTCTGACGTCCCAATGGTCAGGTCATACCCGTCCTGGAAGGGCGCCTCAGAAAACACAGCACCTGGGGGTGAGGCCAACTCAGTGGGAGTCCTGCTCTTGGCTGTGTGTTCATTACATTGAAGGGGTAGGGTGGAGCTGGGGCTCAGGTAAGGGGGCCCTCCACTACTCTTGAGAAGTCAGAACTGGGCACAGTGGAGACCAAGCCTGCAATTAGTTGGGGAAAAAACAAGGTGGGCAGGAAGCAGCTCTAAGAACATGGAGAACTTTGATCCTATTGTCCCTATCCAAGACATCATCAGTCAACTCTGATACTCTTCCTCAGAAGTCCTCAAGAACATTCTAGGCAGTGCATTCAAGGAGACCAGGCTAACAGAAAAGATAGTTGCTCAGGACACACACAGTATGGTAGGGCAAGGACTGTGTTTTGACTTGTGGGTCAAGGAAGGCTCTCTGCCACCTCCCAGACAGAGGGCTGGCTGGACATTCAGAGAGAGAGAAGCTCTGTCCTTACTGAGGCAGGAGGCTAGCCGGACTGTGTACCCCCAGTAGAGACCGGCTTTGGTGCGAGGGTCCTGTGATGACACAACTGTTCCCCGGTAGGTCTTACATTCTGGAAGGGAAATAGAGAAGCTGTGATGATGAGCCAAGGGGAAGGGAGGTAGAGGGAAATTTGGAGACGTGGGTTAGGTGGGGCTGGCTAGACCACCATAAAAGTTAAGGAAGCTTCCAGATACCTGGGAGCTGCTTCTGGTTCAGTCTCACAGTCACTCGAAGCCCAGGCTCCAGGTTCTTGTCAATCTTCACCTCCTGAGGAGAGGCCAGAAGAAATGGATGCTGTTTCCCACCACAACCAGTAGGAGGCATTGCCCTCTGAGACCCTGCTGGGGGAACGGCAGGGCTGGTATGGGACCCAAGGGGTTCAGGTCAACTTACAATCCTCCTGCTTTGGAATGGGCTAGACCTGTTTATAGTACTATCACAAGATACTGGTCAGAAATGAAGGCTGGGGGCTTAGCGCACATAGGAAGTTTTCCCCAATAGATGAAATCCCAGTTTTCCACATTTTGATCATTTTGCTAATTACTGGCTATAGTAATTTGAGCAGGTCACTTAGCCCCTGAACTCAGTTTCCACATCTGTCAAACTGAAAACCCTTCCACAAACAACAGCTATTCTTAAACTTCTCAAACCCTGGCATGAAGTAAATGGCTAAACATTAGCTGTGATGAGTGACAATTATTTGTGTTCTGCGCCATTTTGGAATTTATCACCCTTGGTGGGCACTTTCTTATCATTCTGAGAGTTTCTCATGCTTTTCCCTTTTGTTTGTGTCATCCTGGTCTGCTTTTAGCCATTCATGTCTGCTCTGTTCTTTTTTTGGGGTGGGGGAATCCCACACACTTCACTGTTTCTGTCTTTGACTCCAGGGGACTTGAGTGAACAGGAAGTAAATTAGTGTTCTACTCCCAAGGTTGGCTCTGTGTCACACTGGAGTCTGAGTGGTTTTCAATTTGCTATTACTGGGTTCTGATTTGTTTTTTTAAATATTTATTTATTTATCTGTGGTGCTGAGGATCAAACCCAATCCTCACCTCTGCTAGGCGAGCGCTCTACTACGGAGCCACAACCCCAGCCCCCTCTGACTTATTTTTGATTTGCTTTTAAAAAAACAGTAAAGCTGGGGTGCAGCTCAGTGGTAGGGCACGTTTTTTTGTTTTTTGTTTTTTGTTTTTTAAAGAGAGAGTGAGAGAGGGAGAGAGAGAAAGAGAGAGAATTTTAATATTTATTTTTTAGTTATTGGCAGACACAACATCTTTGTTTGTATGTGGTGCTGAGAATCGAACCCGGGCCGCACGCATGCCAGGCGAGCACGCTACCGCTTGAGCCACATCCCCAGCCCCTAGGGCACATGTTTAGCAGGCTTGGGTCCAATCCTCAGCACCAAAAATAAATACGTAAAAAATAGTACATTTGCTCCTGCCTTATCTCTTAAGGCTTGTTTTGGGCTCTTCCTGACCCAAATATGCATAAATGGGGCTATATAGTCAGGTCACCCTACCTACATGCCCTGCTTACCCTCCATAGCTAGCGTGTGTCCCTGAAGTGCTTCACAGCTCCCCCCCCCCACCCCCAATTCTTCTTACCTTCTTCATTCCACAGTTAACAAAAGAGCCATGGCCTGGTCGGGTGGGCCTGTCTACCACAATGCCTTCTCGGAACTCAGATTCCTCATCCTGGCGCATGTGGTGAGGGCTGTCCAAGGGGTTCAGGAGCCCTGGAGGGGGTGGCAGGAGGAATCTTGGAAGTGCCAAAGCATGCAAAGATGAGGCCAGGACCCTGGTTTAAGATGCAGTTCTGCCACAGACCTGCAGCTGGACATTAGGCATGACATTGCCCTCCTGGGCCTGCCTTCCCCTGAATACCTGGTAGGGGACTGGATGCTTTTCTCATGTCTGAGGGGTGATCTATGGGAAGAGGAATCAGGCCTACCAGGCATACCTGCAAACTGTAGATCCTGGTGCTTGGGGAAGAATGCCTTTCTCAGGTACCTAGTAAAGAATGCAGATCTCAGGAAGTTCCCAGGGGAAGCCACCTCCTAGCTCACCTGCATGTTGATCTCATACACCCTCCCACCCCATCCATGACCAAGGAAGTCACTGCTTACTGTGGACACTCCAGGTACTGCAGGATACGGGCCAGCTGTACACATGCCTGCCCCTTCTTGCCGACTCCCTTAAATTCTCCTTCCACAGTCCTGGAGAGAAAGACATGACTCAAAATCCAATTTGTGGCTTCGGATATAGCTCAGTGATAAGAGTATATGCCCTGAATTCAAAATCCAGCACAAAAACTAACCACACAAACAAAAGCAAACAACAGTCTCATTCTAGAGCTCCTCCCACCTAATGTGACCTCTGTGGTCATTGCCCATGCCTGGCCAGTGGACCCACTAAGGATTACACTGCAGCATTTTAGACAGGGTACTCTGGAAGAGTTGGGCAGGTGGAAAGAGTGAAGTCACAGCCAACCCTGGCAGCCCCTTCCTCCTCCCTGAGCTCCCAGGCCCTTGGGATAGCTTCTCACTTGGCATCATGACCCTCCTCATCGAACACCACAATCTCATCCACACAGAAGATGGCACAGGCTCTGGCAATCTGGCCAGCCAAGTAGGTACGAAGCTCAGGTGACTGGGCATTGTCCAGGATAGAGCCTGGCAGGGCCACGCTCAGAGTGTAGGGCCGTCCTAGGTAGCAGAAGACGGTGTTGTTAAGCATGCATTATTTATAATGGGAAGACAAAGAAATAAAAATTAAATGAAAATGAAATTGAAGCATTCAGAAAGCTCAATAAGAAAGTAAAAACAACAACAACAATCATTAATACCATGAAATTTTAGTCTGGGGATTTAGTTCAGCATGTGTGAGGGCCTGGATTTCCCCCCCAACAGAAAGAAAAAGAAGAAAGGAGAAGAAAGGCAAGGCAAGGCAGGGAAGGAAGAAAAAGTTAAGAGACACAATGCTTGAAATCTACTTAAGTAGCAGGTTAGGACTCAGCAAAGACTCCCTCCTCTTCTCTGGGCCTCAGTTTCTATCAGGACGTTTGGACTCAATGGTCACTTGAGACTCTTCCAGATATGACATTCTCTGCTCTGCCTGCAGGACATCTGCTGAAGCCACATCCTGTGCCCCTAGCCACACACCTTGGTTTTCCCTCTGGGCAGCTGCCTCCTCTTCCTCCTTCTGTCGCTTTGTCTGCTCCTCTTGTGCGCGTTGCTTCTCCAGTTTTTTTGTCAATTTCATGTCCTTCCACTTCTTTTTCTCCTCTTTCTCTGGATAAGAGAACATCCTGATTGGTGTGGGGAGAGAGAGACTTGGAGCAGTCAGAGGGATCATTACCTCTCATTAGGACAGCTTGAGTGCTGGCAAGCAGCCAGAGCCTACTACCCTTGGGTGCTGTGAGACCCAGAGGGGATAAATTTGTGTCCTTCCCTGTGTCTGGCCAAGGCTGGCTGTGTTCTCCTGGAATGGCCTGGGCACAGTCACTCTTTCCCACCCCAGGCCCAGGCAGGCCCAGCCGGTACGTACTCTGTTGCTTCCATTTTCGCCACTCCACCCTTTGGCCATGTTCACCCTGGAGTAGGAGTGGGAGGAGGATTAAGAGTGAGAGGCTGAATGGTCACATCTGCGAAGGGAGCACACATAGGGCTCCACAGCCAACCTGTCCCTCCACCACAGAAAACGCCTCAGGAGGGCAGGGACCCCCTGTACCCACAATGCCTGAGATCAGGCCATGATAAGCATTAAACTGTTGAATGAGGGGCAGGACCGGCCGTAGCCGCCATAGGAATCAGAAGACAAGGCAAGAAAAGGCTCAGGGTGAGGGCGGGTTCCACCTCTGGAATGCAGCCCCCGCCGCAGAACCACAGGGACTCGTCGGCCTTGGCTCCCCTCCGAGTCCCAGCGCTGGCCTCGGCCCCGACTCCCACCTCCTAATCGCGGGGGCACACGCATCCACCGGCGTGCAGCACCTTCCTCGAGGAGCAGGGAGCGGGAGGCGCTGCCGGGACCCGCCACCAGCCCCCATGTGGGTCCTTCTCACGCCCCGAGCGCCGGGGGCTGGCAAGACCCCCACCTACCGGTACCTACCGGGCCGCAAGGCCGCTTCCTCGCGCGCTCCGCCATGTTCCGCCGCGTGCCGTCGGCCACGCCCCTGCCAATCAGACCCATGCCTTCCGGCCACACCCCCGCCGAGCCGTCCAATCGGAGAGATAGTGGGGCGTGGCCGAGGTGCGTCCGCGAGGGGAGCGCTTGGGCGAGGGGAGCGCTTGGGCACTGGTGGGCTCAGTGGTGGGGAGCGGGGCCTTCTGGGTCTTTCCCCGGCCCCGCGTTGGATGGAAAGCCGCGTTTTTGAGTCGGCACCAGCCAGACCTCAGCGTCATTTTATGCAAGGGGACTCTCAGGCCCAGAGCTGGAAATCACGTTAGAACAATTTAATCCAGTTTTTTTTTTTTTTTTAAGTATTTATGTTTGAGTTTTTGGTGGACACAACATCTTTATTTTATTTGTATGTGGTGCTGAGGATCGAACCCAGCGCCCCGCACATGCCAGGCGAGCACGCTACCGCTTGAGCCACATCCCCAGCCCCTTTTTTTAAAAAATACATTAATTTTTGTATGTGTGTGTTTATGAATTTTATGTGGCGCTGAGGATTGAACCCAGTGCCTCACACGTGCCAGGCAAGCGCTCTGCCACAACTCCACCTCTTACTTTCCCTTTACTTTCTCTCTCTCCCTCTCTCCCCCAACCTCTGTCTTTTGTACCCAGGGAAATTACCACTGAGTTAAGTCTCCGTTTCTTTGTATTTTTTAAATTTGAGGCAGGGTCTCATTAAGTTGCTTAGGGCCTCAGTAAATTGCTGAGTGCTGGCTTCGACCTTGCAATCCTCCTGCCTCAGGCTCCTGAGCTGCTGAGATTACAGGCATGCGCCACCACCTGGCCAAAGCAGGTTTTTTTTTTTTTTGTAAAAAAAAACAGTTTTTTTTATGTGGGTCACACATGCGAGGCAGGTGCTTTACCACTGAGCTACAGCCCCAGCCCTAAAGCAGCTTTAATTTGAAAATTGAAGAGTTTGACACAGACCTCTTCTAAACCTGTATTTTTTTAAATTGTTAACATCTTTCAGTGGTGTGCTACATTGTTATACTTGGTAAACAAAAATGATACATTGTTATCAACCAAGGTTCTGTAGTCTACCCAAGAGTTTTCTCTTTGAGTACATTCTGTTTTTGTTGTTGTTTAGTTGTAGATGAAGACAATACGTTTCTTTATTTATTAGTATATGGTACTGAGGAAGGAACCCAGTGCCTCACAATGCTAGATAAGAACTCTACCACTGAGCTATGACTCCAGCCCCATTCTCTGGGTTTTGACTGAAGCATAGGCATGTATCATTATTACAGTAGGAATTTGTCTCTATAGTTTTACCTTCCAGAATTTCATATAGTTGAAATCATACAGTATGTAGCCTTTTCAGATTGGCTTCTTTCATTAAAGGATATGAATTTAAGTTTCCTCCATTCTTTGTGTGACTTACTCATTACTTTTTATTGATAGATGCTATTTTATTGGATGGAAGTGCCACAGTTTATCCATTCAACTTTTCAATTTGCTTCCTTCTCTCCCTCCCCCAAACTCCTTCTCCTCCTCTATTTTTTGGTAC